TTTTATCAAACCTCTAATCAGTCTCCCCATGTGATGATAAAGGAACTACACATCTCTCTCAAATCTGACACAGTTGAGCCTCGTGTTTTTAGTACACCACATTTCCCATTGAAAAAAAATCGAATATTTTGTTTTGCTGTGATTGGGACTCCCGCCAGGACTTATCAAGTAGAATTTATTATTTAGATATGGAAAAGGATAATGTCGCTGGGAGAACAGATTGAGTTATTGAGACAAGCAACAGCAAAACCTTTGCAATTTTTGACATGTTCCAGCAGATGCCCTGAGTGATGGTTGTCAGGGCACTGCAGGGCTGGAATCCTGGCTCTTCTTGCTGCCTGTGAGTATTCCCTTTGCACCTTAATTTTCTCATCTGTAGAATGGGAATAGCACCACTATGACCACCTCTCTTGAGAGCTAATGCAATGATTACACAAGTCAGTATTTATAAAGTGCTATAAAAGTGTCCTGTGGCACAGAGCAAAGGTGACAAGCCAGCTGCTACTGTCACCACAGATAAAGGACATTTTTATTTGCAAAAACTTAGGTTGCATTTATGATGTAGAACATGAGGCTTTAAAACACACGCTGTGAAATGGCTACACTGAGCTAATTAGCATATATATTACTTCACACATATTTTAGTGGTGGAACATTGAAAAAAACCTACACTCTCAAGTAATCGAAACATTGCTATTAATCATAGTCACCATGGTTCTAGTGACTTCGTATTGTTGTGATAAAACACCATAACCGGAAGCAGCCAGAGGAAGAAAGGGTTTATTTCAGCTCACAGTTATACCCTGTCATACAGGAATTCGGAGCAGAGGCCATGTAGCAGCTTCCTGACTTGCTCACCATGACTCGCCCAGCCTGCTTCCTTATGCTAACCCAGGACCACCTGCCCAGGGGTGGCACTGCCCACAGTGTGCTGGGCCCTCCCACATCATCATTGATCAAGATGATGCCCTCCTGACTTGCCAACAGGCCACCTGATGAGGGCATTGTTCTCAGCTGAGGCTCTTCTTCACAGATAACTTTAGCCGATGCCACTGTTTGCAAACAAAGCAAAACAAAACAACCAGCAACAACCCAAACCAAGAGACAAACCTGGACAACAACAGATCTCTTGAAATTATTCCTCTTGCCTGAGAATTTTTCCTGTCTGACCACATCACATTGTCCTCCCAATTCTCCGTTCCTCGCCCTTCCCCAGTCCCGGCAGCCACCCTTCGGCTCATCGTCTCTGTGAGTCTTGTGTTCTGGATTTCATGTATATTTGTTTCTGGCTTGTTTCGCTTAACGTGTGTGCTCCAGGCCTAGACATACAATGTTGCCAGTAAACTGGCTGGAGGTTCTTCCCGGGAAAGCTGTTTAGTCCTGGCCTTGCTTCTCTGCTTTTAAATGTGTGTCAACATTTCCCCTGTCTCACCCAGCGCAGACTCAGTGACATCTGGAAATCTCAAGCCTACTTGTTATCGAAAGCTGAAAGTGACAAGTGGCACACTGTGTTGGGAAACCGTCCTTCTAGAATCAGTCATTGCTTAAAAGGAACTGACATGCAAAGGAGAGAATGAATGAGGACATCGAACAGTGAAAACATGGCCTTTTCCAGGCCATGATGGCAATATGCTACAATTCTAAATATGTCAATTTGTAATTCTCTCTGTGTGTGATTATATGATCAGTTCTTGTCCTCATTATTGGCCTTTAAAGTCCACAAGCAGGGGGATTGAGTTTTGTCCAGCAATAAATTCTAGTGACCGACATCTGATACATAGTACCTGTTCAAATATAGTTGTTAAATGAATGGATGAATGCATGGCTTGGTCATATTGATTCTCCGAAAGTCACTGTGTTTAGGTGCTAGCCATGAAGAAGCGTGCACATAGTTAATAGTGTTATTTACACTCAGCATGTTTACTAAGAAAGAAGCTGGTGGATGGAAAAACCAAGGTAAAAACCATTAACCCAGCCAAGAGATGGGCTTGAGCAAGGGTCCCAGTCCTATGAGTCCTAGTGTGGATGTGTTTCTATAAAATAAAAAGGGACTTAAAGAGTAAAAATATTATGTGGTGCCTGAAATCTGTAATCTCAACATTCCATATGGTGATGTGGAGGCAGATGATTCAGCTCATGGAAGCACTGTGTCAGACACACATGTACACTCAAGGCACACGTTCATTCCCATACACAGTCACTCATGCACACACACACACACACACACACACACACACACACACACACACACACACACAGCATATCCATGCACACAATATGCGTCTTTAAAATGCCACCTTGCTTCTCTCCGTAGCCTTTTCCTTTCTTATTCTGTGGCTCAGGAATCTATAGATGCAGAAAGAGAAACAGGCCGTTGGCGTGTGCTCTTCCGGAAGAGACGTGGATATCCAGAGACACCTGCGACCAAGCCCTCCTCTCACAGGCTGGATTGTTATGACATTTCCTGGAGTTCTGATCAAATCAAAGTGTGCTGACCCTCAGGCAGATGATTGTCTTTAAAAAAATAAATGCTTCCTAATTGTAAAATATGGGTTTCATTTTTATCATCTTCACATGTACACAGTATGTGCTTTTGTCATGTCCCACCCCAGTCCCCTCTCATCCCTCTTCCTCCTCTCTCGTCACAACCTCGGTCTTGAACAGCAGAGGGCTGGTGTCAGAAATGGCGATTAGAAGTGAATACGGCAACTTGCCGAATATTCACCGAGTTGGCAAATGGATGCCTTACCTACTCCTGAACAGAGCTCCTAAAGCCCTTTCTCCAAGAGTGCTTCGGAAGCATTTCTAAGTCGGGCTCCGTGGTCATCCTCTGTCCTCTTGGACCTTCAGGCTTCCTCTGAGTTTCTCTAAGTCCCAAGGGCACATCTCAGACCCCAGTGTCCTGCTTTCCTGCTGAGCTTGGCTCACGGGAACAAGGCTTCATCACGGAAAGAGGATGCCTTAGACATTTCGTTTTTTTTTCACAAAATCTAAACTCCCTGCAATCAGAGAGAGGTTTTCCTGTCTCCAATAAGGTATCAATCAACCAGTCGACTGATCAATCAATCAAACAACAACAAAATCAAAGTATGTCAACAGAGTGCTGTTCTAAACCTCCAGGTGGGATTTTGATATGAGGCGTTTTTAGTAATAATTGTTGTGGCATTCACCCCCTAGCTGGTGGGTCAAGGTGGAGGCCTGGTTGTCTTCTGGGCAGGCTGCCTCCATTCTGGAAGGCTCCATAAGACTGTGATACTCTGAGAACGAAGACTTTCATTTATTCAATTTTTCGATTAGCTGAGGTTTAACCAGAGGACTGGCTTGAGTTCTTGATGGAAAACTTTCTAAAGTTGTTTCTTTCTTTCTTTCCTTCTTCTTTTTTTTTTTTTTTTTTTTTTTTTTTTTGTATCAAAAGGTTAGGACAGTGGAAAAGTTTCTCTGATAGTTAAAAACATTACAGGTCTCTTGGGATCATTTTCTGGCTACTAAAAAAATAATTACAGCTAGAGGCTTGATTGGTTGACAGGGATGTGGAAACTAGTTAAAAATGAGATCCCTGGGGGTGAGTTGTTACTCCTGACTTTTAAAGATGGGTCATAAATAGTATTTACTGATCACTGACTACTTTATAGGCCACAGACCTTTCTCTTCAGGAGCCTGTATTTGAGGGAGGGGTTTATAGAGTTACTGCCCAGTGTAAGTGATTAAAAGGTACCAAGTGAGTGCTACTAGAGCTCAGAGCAGAGGGCTATGGGGGTCCTGAGAAAGGCCTGGCCATCTGCCGGCAAGATGGGGGTGGCCCAGGACATATAGGCAGGAGAGTGCAGTCTTTGGGAATACACAGGGACCTGGTGTGCACATCTCTGTGCTGGAGAGGAGGCTGGAGCAGGCTGGGGAGTGCTCCTTTGTAAATACCATTTAGCAACAGTTAAACAGTCTGATTAGTGTTCTGGAAAGCTGACTCTGGCAGAGGTGGGACAGAGCTATGGGAGAGAGAGAGATGGCTTTGATTAACTCGTCAGTTAATATTAAGCAAGAGCTTTCACTCTTTCAATATTTATATATTGACCCGAATTACAGTTGGTAATGATGTTTTATCTCAAAGTAGGAAGGCATTTTGATAACATTTAGGAATCACGTTATTATCTTTACTTTAAACGTCGGGAAACTGAGGTACAGCAGGCAAACCTGAGTTAAAAAAGAAGTCTTGACGTTTCTTCCAATTCCTGTAGACCTTAGCCCCCCCCCACACCCCTCCGCAACTATTACAGCACATTTATGATTTAATTAACTTGCAGAAATCCATATGGTTTTTGTTACAGAGACTAAAGGAATGTGCTTTTCATAACGAATGGCATATGGCTTCCAATAGCTCTCCACTTGCGTGTTTTAACAAATGAACAAGTACATAAATTAGATGCCTCGGGTCAGTTAGCAAACTGAAGCTGATTTCCTTCTGTTCTCTCTAATTGAAACTGTGTTTCTGACAAATATCAGGAGATTTTGGAAGGCCGTGGGTGTAAACACACATAGCGTGGTTTGAGCAATCTTTCTCTCCCATGGCCGATCCCCTTTGAGGAGTCAACATTTGTCCACATTCCAGTAGACGTAGTAGCCAGCTGAACTCTGATTTTTTTTTAAAAAAAAAATGCAGCTTCATGCTTTGGGAAAATTTAGTTGACTTAAATGATACAATTGTAAAAAAAACAAAAAACAAAAAAAAAAACAAAAAACAAAATGAAACCCCCCACACAAACAACAACAAACCCATGTTAAATTGGACAAAAACTAGTGAGCTATAAGGTGACTTTTGTGTTTGGTCCCTTAAATGGTACAGGGGACAATAATTCATGGGAGATGCTGCCATGCTGGACAAACGTCAAGTGGACAGGCTCCCTCTTAATCTCCGGAGTTGTGGAGCACCCTTCCTGTTTTAGGAGACATGCTGTAGAGTTCTGCTTTCTTAGTCCACTCTCTACCTCATCCTTTTGTTGATTTAGCAGGTTTCCCGATGGAGTCTGAGAATGAGGCCTTTGCAACTTTCACATTATCATACTATAAAATCCACCAGTGACTATTTGTACTCGAGGTCAGTGACATTCTCTCATTGGAATTCCCTGGACTCCGAATTTATAAGATAGTCCAAAACTGCTTTTGTCTGTGATGGAAAAATACAGCATAATAACTGTAAGCCAGTTGGTTTGCAAAGTATTTGGGGTTCAAATTTAGCTACACGCACCACACTGGCACGTTGCTTGCTTTTAAAAAGTGCTTGTATTTATATCCCGCTAATAACATATTTGATTTAATTAAATAGAAGTATATCAGCCATTAAAGGAAATTGAAAACAGATCACAATTCTGAATTAAAGTAACTAAGAAAAAAAGAAAATTTTAATTAATATTAAGTTGTATACACATATTTTCTATTCAAAAGCCCGATTTCCTAGGAATAAAAACACATAACTTTGGGTAATTAATTTAGTAGGCATAAACCCAACAGTTCAAGTAATAAAATTTTAGCATCTGTTTTCTATCTGAAATGTCACAGTGGATTCCTGTGTTTTTGACTTAACTCTAGCGCATCTTATATTTACTACAATGTATATCCCATTGTGGGTGGGTCATAGCTTCTCCTCTCATAAGCTAATATCTTCCATTATACTCTAATCACAGATGGTGGATACAGATGATTGGTGACTCAGAGGCTGATGGACTGGATCCTCACAATCGTCGTGGACTCCTGGGCATCTCTAATCCAGGACGGAGCAGTTTGGTGAGGAAGAGACGCCCTTCGCCAGAAACCTGGGTTTAGCCTGCCAGAATCTTCCTGGCATTTGTCAGAAGCACGGAAATGTGGGGGAAAGAAGTGAGCCTGGGAATGATTTTCCTCTTTAGCAAAATACTTCTTCCTTCCTTCCTTTTTTTTTTTTTTTTTAAAGTGATCTTGTCCCAAACCAACTAACAGACTAACAATGCACCTCAAAAATACATTGTAAATTCACTTCATATTTGGGATTCAGATACCAGTATCTGTAAGATAAGCAATGAAGAGCCTCTCCTCTCCTCTAGAGGCAGAATTTACTACATGGCTACAAAGTATAAAATCAGCTTGTCAACACAAAATCTGTAAACAAGTCAATGCTCAGAACCTCGGTAGAAAGCCAACAAGCTGGAGGAGAAGCCATTGGGCTCACACTCATTTGCTTGCTAACTACTCGCTTGGAAGTTGGCATAAAATGCTATTTTTCTCAACAACTCGCTCACGTTAGAGTGACTGCTGACTAGCTGACATGCTCCCTAGCATTTCAGATAGCCCCAGATAGCGGTGCCAGCCTGGCTCAACATGCAGGAAGACAGGTCAGAACTGCTTATTAGCAGCTGGGATCCCACGGCTGTGTGTACAGTGGTCCTCTCAGTTCTGAACAGCCACAGCCAAAGGAAGAGCTCCTTGGCTTAATAAATTGCCTCAAGTATTGGGACATCTGAACTTTACATTCTAAACAAGTAATGACCATGCAGAGGGATCCGGAACCATTTCCCTATATTCGCAAATCCTGCCCCAAACTGCGTTGAACAAAAACGGCTCCCATTTAAAAGAGGGACATGACCCGAACCAACTGTCACCGGCTCCCCGAGAGAGGTGAAGCTTGTTGACAGAAGATGTACATTGTTCTTCTGAGTGCCGTGCTGATCTGACTGCACTAGGCCGTCGGAGGACTCACTGGGGGCGGAACCTGCCGGGAGCCGAGTCGGAGTTGGGAAGACCGTCAAGGAAGGGCAGAGGAGGAGAAAAAGTCAAGAAAGTGGAGGGAGACAAAGAGCTGGGAGAAAGCCCTACTGGGCCCTACAAGGGAAAGGCAGTGAGTGAGATTCCTGGGCATCGAGTGGCTGAAGGAATCTTAAGAGCAAGTATGTTTAATATTGAACCAAGGTGTTTCTGATGGGCACCATAAGTACTCATTCTCTAAGGACTTCCTTTTGGTTTTGGATCGAAAGTTATGGGAAAGGCTTCTTTCCCAGGGTGGAACGGGGTTGGCAGGAACAGGTAAAGCTTAAGATGACCAACTAGAGGGACCCTTGCAGGGCTGAGGATCCTGGTCGAGCACACCGTCTCCTCCCACCAGGTCTCCTGGTCTAGTTGACCCCAAACGTCAGGCAGCTTGCTGGAGGCTGTGGTCAGGCAGCCCACGGAAGGATGGCTGAGTCAAGGAGGAAGCAGACGGCAGCGGATGCTGAACTGTATGTAAGCGGCGTGGACGTGTGCTTCTTCATTAAGGGAGAAAGTCAGGTGGAAAATTTTGCTCCCTGGCTCTGCTTCCCATCCTAACGTTAATTACCTGTGGCATGCAGTGCCGTTGGCATTTTATGATATGAACATACCAGTCAGTCAGCCTTTGCTTTGATTTCTAAAAATCAAGTTGAAGCTAGTCAATTAGTATGTTTAGTATGCCAAACGGATCCCCAAAATCCGTGGCAGTCGTTTCGAAACCATGTTGTGTATTTGCATTTAATTTACTGAAGCCTAATTGAGGGATGCCTCCCTCTAGCATCCTCCATGGACCAGAAGGGGATTTGTTTGTGTGTGGACATCTTTATAGGAAGTAGTATAGTCGTGTAAGGTGTGTAGGCTGGTACCTACGTGTTTGAAGAGGCCATATTTGGGGGCTTGTCATCATGAATAATGACCATGATATATTGTAAAAACCTTACCAGTGATCGATTGCTTGAACTGGTTTTCTAACGAGTCTGGGGTTTAATTTGTTGACATTACTTCTGTAGATGTCCTGGTGTTGATAGAGTGAAACACTCACATAAAGGGAGAGAGAGACTGAGACAGAGATGAGGGGAGGCAGACTTGTTTTAAGCTGTGTGAAGAGTATCTGTCTGGCTCCTTTTGCTGGGAACCTTTCTGGACTGTTTCTAACCATCATGCCCTGTGCTGACACAGGAGTCAGAAAAGGTGCTCATGGAGAACTTACGTGTGGGGACAATTCCTATTTGGTATGTCTTGGTATTTGAGAACCTTCTAGAAGACTCTTTTGAGTGTGCACACAGAACAAGTGCTCTGACTACCCACCTACATTTAGCCACAGCGATGCCAGCCTCATAGTCATGGGAAGGTCGGCTGCCAAGCGCCTGGCTGGTTCTACCCCTGGTCGAGTCCTTACACGCTTCTGTAAATTTCATTTTCTCATGATTCATAGAACTCGCTGTCCAATGGCACGTGATTGTATTTCTGCTCAAGAAGAAGAGGACACAGCCCAGCCCATTCCATGGAAATTCAGAGAGGGCGGCCACATGGGGGCAATTTTAATCCAGGCGAAGCGGAGCCCATGGAGCCCTGAAGATTGTTATTCAGTTTGGAATGGTATAACTTTGTAATTGTCAAGGTATGTGGAGAATACTCCACGTATAAAAGTCGCCCCAAATTAGAGTTTGGAGGTGGCCACTCTGTGCTGTTTCTGAAGTCTGTTCTCAAAAGTCTGCCTCTGTCCTGTGTGTGGGGGAGGGATGGGGAATGGAGTGGATTCATGCTTTTCATGTTAGCCTGTGTGAAAATTCGCCTTCCGGAACTCAGCCGCTGCTGCTGCTGCTGCTTCTCCTCCTCCCCCTCCTCCTCCTCCACCCCCTCCTTCCCTTCTCCCCCTCCTCCCTTTCTTTCTCCTCCTCCTCTTCCCTCCCTTCAGCTGCCAGACTGTGGGAACATTCATTCTTGTGCCTGCAAGTTCATATATTTATTCCTCCCAGACCGTCGCCATCCACAAAATAGCAATGGTGATGTAAACAGACCCACTGAATCGCTGGTGGAAAACGGTGCAGAAAGCAGTAGCATGACCCTGGTTCCTGCCCTTCTGGGACCTTCTCTCCGGGGTGCAGTTGTTTAACAACTTAAAAATCATTTATTCAAGAAACACTGACTGACTGAACTGAACCAGTGAACGTAAGAGTAAGGCACACAAATCCAATGCTACTTCGAAGCCTGCCTGGGTTTGCTGACAAGTGTATATTTTGACATAAAGGTTTACTTAATTTTAAAAAATGAGTTTAAATAAAACATGAATGAAATAAAAATGTATATAGTGTACCTTTTAGAGTTTGGGCCAATAGGGAGTTCACGAATGAAAAACAACACTGATTGGACAAAAAGACAAGCATTCTAATTTTTTTTTTTTTTTGAGATAAGGTCTTACTATGTAGTCAAAGCTGGCCTATAACCCATGATCCTCCTGCCTCAGCCTCCAAAATGCTGGGATTGCAGGTATGTGCCACCGTGTTCAGCTTCTTGATACATTCTTGAACATTTTCAAGTACCTAGGCAATAACTCAGCTATATTTGAAAGGGAATAAATAATAACTGGCCTTGTCGCCGAGACAAGGCAAATACTGACATAAAGGATTTGCCCAACTACCTAGCTGTGTTCCTATTTCAGTCTATCGATTTGGGGATCCATGTCAGATGTCATATTCTAATTTGTAGTGAAATAAATAAACAGGAGCAAGACAATTCTCTACAGTTTGTTCAAAATGTATCCATTTTTATACTTTCAAACATATTAGAAACAGCTCACTAAATTATCTAGAAAATCCTACTAGAATTGGGATGATAACTGCATTAAAACATCAGCTTTTCCAATTCAGCATTCTTTTGTTGTTGATGATGTTAAAAAAAATTGTTTGTTAACGTTTGTTTTCTGTGTATGTGTATACACGTGTGAGGACAACTTGTGGGAGCCGGGCCTCTTCCACCATATGGGTCTTACGAATGGAAATCAGGTCATCAGGCTTCTTGGCAAGTGCCTTTACCTGCTGAGCCATCTTACTGACCCCCAACTCAATATCCTTTATGGTTTTCTCTGTGAAATAGTCCTGGCTATCCTGGAACTCTCTCTGTAGACCATGCTGGCCTTGAGCTCACAGAGATCTAAAGGTGTGCACCACCACTGCCCAAAGTGGTTTTTGTTTTTTTGTTATTTTTTTGTTTTTTCGAGACACAGTTTCTCTGTGTAGTTTTGGTGCTTGTCCTGGAACTCGCTCGGTAGACCAGCTGGCCTCGAACTCACAGAGATTGGCCGGCCTCTGCCTCCTGAGTGCTGGAATTAAAGGCGTGCACCACCACCGCCCCCAATTCAATATTCCTAACTAGGACCATGATCTAACATTCATGTCATTGCTGAATAGGGGAGAAATCTAGCAGGCTGTGGGACTGGGTGACCAAGAGGACCGCGGTGGCCCTATCAGCGTAGGGACTAGAAGAGGAAAAGCAGACGTGGTAGAGGACAGCGACTGGATTGGGAAACCCGTGTGTGAAGTGTCTGTGTGACATCAAGAAGAGATGGTACTGATCTGGGAGCTGGCACTTAGGAACGCCAACCAGGCCAACCAGGCTTCCTGTCCGGCTTGTTGGTTTCTCTGGAAAGTAAGGACAGGCTCATAACAAGAACAGACAGAACACAGGGAACGGGCTTGCATGTGCTCGCCCGAGTCTGCTTTCTGCTGCTATGGTAAACACCATGACCAGAAGTAACTTGGGGGAGGACAGGGTTGGCTTGGCTGACTGTTCCAGGTCACACTCCATCACTGAGGGGAGTCAGGGCAGGAACCCAAGCAGGAACCTTGGTAGGTAGGACCTGAAGCAGACACGGTGGAGGAGCGCCGCTTACTAGCTTACACCCAGGCTCATGCTCATTTTTCTGGTCCAGCCCAGTCTCACCTGCATAGGGACGTTGTTGCCCACAGTGGGCTAGGCCCGCCTCCATCAATTAGCAATCAGGAAAATGCCCCCACAGCCATGTCCACAGGCCAAGCTGATTGAGGCAATTCTTCAGTTGAGGTTCCGTCTTCCCAGGTGTGTCCAGTTTACAAGTTCAGGCCCCACACTGTGTCTTAGGGTTTCTGTTGCTGCAACGAAATACCATGACCAAAAGCAAGCTGGGGAGGAAAGGGTTTATTTGGCTGACATCTCCAGATCCTAGTTAATCACTGAAGGAAGCCAGGACAGGAATTCAAACAGGTCTGGAATCTGGAGGCAGGAGCTGATGCAGAGGCCACGGAGGGCTGCTGTTTACTGGCTTGCTCCGCCTGACTTGCTCAGCCTGCTTTCTTACAGAATCCAGGACCAGCAGCCCAGGGATGGCCCCATCTGCAGGCAGTGTAATCTCCCCAGGTGGTTAGTGATGCTGGGCCTATTTCCATGTGTTCACCAGACAGCTGCGTATCTTGCTTGAAGCAATATTTTCAAGTTCGCTTTTCAGTCAGGACACTAGTCTCTCACTGTTGAATTGTAAAGATTTTCAAATCCCCCCGGAGAGCCATCAACTTGGGACCATTCCGCTCTGCTCGCCTCCATGTTTTTCATGTGCTACATTTGAAGCTGTCGTCCGGGATGAACCTTACGTGATGTCACTTCAAAACAAAGAGACCTTTGTAAAGGCTGGGGCAATGTGTTCTCTCATGTCTTATGCAGTGAGAACTCTTTATTTTGATTACTTACAGCAAACAATTTTCTTTTAGAGACCAGCTTGTGAGAAAAACTGAATTAAAATGTGATCCAGCAGAACCAGGCCTGACTGGCCACCTCGGGCACAGCTCTGACATTTCCAGCTCTCCTTGCCTAGCTGCGTGCTTGAGGTAACGTTTCCACAAACTAAATCAGTGCACTCGGGTTGTGTCCACATTCACAACTATTTCTGTCCTCGGTTGAGAGTTCTCAGAATGACGCTCAGACGCTTGTCTTGTTTACGAAAATACCAGATAAATATATACAAATGCGAGTTGTTTGCCCTTTTTCCGGGTTATATTTGGCACAGACGCACAGAGGACAAAGGAGGGTCCAGACTCCAGCCTGCGGCTCGAGTCCCCAGCCCTCCCAGCCGTGTGTGCTCGCTCCCACCCACCGCCCCACAGAAGAGCTGCTGTGTGCTCATCTGACTCTAATTCCAGAGGAGAGGTGAGCAAGAATGTGCATTTTCTATTTTGTGACATTTTTGTGGTGGCATAGATATTTTCATGAAATCTAGCCATGAAATTTCTCCTCCTCTGAAAAGATAACACATGCGGACTTATTTTAAAGAGTAAACCATCTAAACTCACTGCCCATGTGTGTGCCAAATAAAACCACACTCAACTGTTTGAAACCGGCTTAGCTGGCTGACAGGGGGCCAGTAAATTTTAATACATTTCCATGATATTCAGCTATTTCTACATCAACAAAGTGAACCATATTCCTTAAAAAACGCCCCGGAGGAGGATGGAGTCATGTTTATAGAAACACTCAGTAAAACGTTGCTTTGTGAATGTCCTAAAATCACTTTCATATGTTATCATTTATTTATTCCCAAGAAGATTGTAAGCAACTCACAAGAGCTGTTTTCATCCCCCTTTATTGCAAAATACAATGGTCTGTGCACGGTGCAGGCCGAGCAGACACAGCTGGCGGATTGACCCGGCACTCGACGGAACTTACTCGAAACTCAAAAGTTGTTCTGTTAGGTCACCAGTTGTAATGCGTTTCAAAGATTTGAGAGGTAGTGGTCAGTGAACGTCAGTGTTCGGAGACCTAAGCTTTCCAAAGTGCTCTTTGGTCTCGATCTGTCTGTCGTCTTTCATTTACCAGTCAGCTCAGGAGGTCGACGTCTGTCATCAGCCTGTGGCAGACAGCTGTTCTTTCTGAGCTCTGTGTGAAGGCTTCATCAGGAGTGTACCTGTCATGGCGTTGTTTTAAAGCGGAAAGCCCCATTTCAAGGCTGGCACAATCCATCCTCTTATGTCTTATAAATGGGAGACAGAACTCTTCATCAACAAAATGAACTATATACATTACAAAATTCTAGGATGCCACTTTTCAGAATGGTAGCTACCACCTAAGTGTGACTGTTTAGTATTGGAAATGTAGCAAATCTGAAATGATCTGCTCTGTGTATACCAGGTCCACATCGGGCAAACAAAAATGTGTGAAACTTACCAGCCATTTGAAAATATCGATGCAGTGTTGAAACGTAAAACTTCGGGTATGTTCGGCTAAATAAAACATTTGTTATTTAATTACCTTCCAGTTCCCATTGCTTTTCTGATTAAAGGGCTGCTAGACATTTTGGAATGAAGGGTGTGACTCACATTAAACTTTGTTCTGGTACAGTTCCCATCCTTAGTTAACATTTAGGGACAGGTAATTCTTTGTTGTGGATTCATCCCATGCTCTGTGGGTAGAAGTTTCACCTCCTTGCCTAGGGAAACTCAGAATGTCCCCAGACTTTGCTCAGTGTCCTGGGGTGCCAAGTTACCCTGGCTAAGAAGCATATTGAAGGGTGTGAAATAGTTTTGTAGATCACTTGCTACTGCGATATGCTTTATACATACATGTATCAAGGTTAGGTACTCGTCTCTGTCTCTCTCTTTATTATTAGATATCATCTAATAGATCACATGTATTTGTGGGACCTATTTTTAGCCTCACTATGCATATATATATATATATATATATATATATATATATATATATATATATATATATATACACATATATGCTGTTCCTTGTTCAGCGGGAAGTGGACAATTGCTCTTTCACCATTCACCATTTTCAGTGCTGGTGTCCACACCACTGTGTTTTCTGTTTAGTTCACCAGGGAAGGAGGGGAAGCGTTGTTCATACCTTCGTCTGTTCGAATTGTGACATCTGAAACTCCATGTCAGTTGTGATGTTTCTATATACACCCAGGCAGAACTCCGAGTCAGTCAGTCACGGCAGACTCACTGCAGGAACAAAGTTAGTATCCTATCCGTGGACGTGCCGAACAGCCGGGGCCCCCTGCCTCTCAGCAGCACCAAGAGCCTCCTGCACAAGCTCACTAATTTTAGACGAAATAGTTTCTTATTTTGGTCACAGCTGCTGACATTCCAAGAGCCTCTTATTCCACCCGATGAAATGAGGAGGCTCTGTCCGAGGTTTGGTCCTGTCTGAGGATTTGGTGACATCATTTTGAGGAATTGCTAGCTGTCCGGAGTATGTTTTATGTATAGCAGCTAACTGTAGTACATGGTTTGTATGACTAAGGATTCTCGAGCTGACTTTAGAGAGCTCCCTCTTTATGAGAATGCTTGCCTCAACTGAAGTGGAGAGGTCGCTTTCCTGGACGGCATCCAGTGTCACTGGCCGTCCGACACAGGAACATGCTGGAGGACATGGCAAGACTCACTGGCCCTGTGGGTGTGCCACCGGCCCTCTCCCTCCTGTTCAAGTTTTAAACATTTCAGTGACTTTGTCACAGTTGACAAAGCTTCGGGGTGGTGTTGCCTTTTGAATATCACTGTCATGATGCGCTTGTGACTTCAGAAAGACCCTCCGTCTGCTGCTACACACAGACCTCACATAGCTCTGTGCCGTGGCCCTACCTGCTCCGGTTTATAATGGAAGGGGGACTCCTTTCAGCTTCTTTTGGGTCAGTCCTCAGTGAGAAGAAACCTCTTCAAGAGGGGCTTTGATCACGGAGTATTTGATTGCTGTAACTGAATCTATGAGGAACTGTGGTCAAACTCAGTTAACTTTAGCGCTCTCTCTCCCTCCCTCCCTCCCTCCCTCTCTCCCTCCTTCCCCCCCTTCTCTCTCTGTGTTAAAGATCAATCTTCCACTCCCCCAAAGGCTAGATTCTTTGGGTTACTAGAACCTTCTTCTGAAAGATATGCTAGTTCTCGTCTTATTAGCTGGCAGGCTGGGGTTTTACAGACATTTATTACCAAGACTTTAGGCTCAGCTGTGTCTCTGTGGTCTCTGATGGCTCCCCTTGTTGTCTTGTGGAGAAAAATCTCAGGGGAAACTATATGCCGAGTGAAATCATCTTGACCAGGACCTCAGAGGCTGCAGAGTCTCGCAGTTGGTGCTTCCTTTGATTGCAGACTTTAGTGAAGCCGTCTCTGCAGATGGACTGACTGTGTGCGCAGCGAGGGAAGGGGCGTGGCGGGGCGTCAGTGTGTACCAGCGCTGGACTATGCTGTTCCCTGTTCCGTGGAAGTGAACAACTGCTCTCTGTTCAGTCTCTCCACCACTTTGTCTCCAGTGCAGTTCGTCCATTATATAACTTTTTAGTTTCTCAGAAAGTAGCAGGTTTCCATGATCCTGGTAAAGCAGAAAACTCAACGGAGGCAAACTAGGCACATTGTAGAAGCCAAATGTCTCACTTCCGGAACTTGCTGCTAACAGATTGCATCGCCATCATTCAGGCATGGTCCTAAGAAAGATGGAAAAATGGTGGTCAGCTCTGTGACTGGCCTGTGTCGTGAGGGTTCTTGTCTTTACCTCCTGATTAAAAGGAGAAAACCTTGGAAGTGATGTTCTGGGTTCGTCAAAAGAAAACTCACACCCTCCCCTCCCACCGAAGAACACCATCTCTATTGCTCTTTTAGCTACATGAAATAAAGGAATTTAAAAGTCGCCTTGGGAACCAGCGAGGCTGGAAACCAAGCCAAGGACGCTTTGTGCCAGGCAGGCTGCAGATCAGTCATGGGCTGAGACTGGTCATCAGTCCAGTGCATTTGGACGTCACTTAACTACTTGGCTGTGTGAAATACAATTTTGTGTAATTTTAATACTTTGACCAATATTAACCTGTAGCTGCCAATGTGAGTTTAAATCATAGGGTTATAGTAACATTTCAGGAGCCACAAAGAACCATTTTGCTCTAAATGTTAGTAAATTACAGCATCTTCTTGAAGTAAGCAAATAAGCAATTTTAAAAGCAGCCATCTGTTAGGATTATACAGCATCTACTATTTTTCTGGGTTCCTCTCAATTTCTACAAGATTATCATTTTTTCTTATCCAATAAAAGTTGACTCATCAAGTGCATTTGCATGAAGAAAGCACCTTCAGGATTTTTGAACTGATTGTCTGAACTTTCAACTTACGGTTGCATTGCCATGGACCACTTCCTATACGGGAGGCTCCCCTCCCTTCCACCTCCGTGTCTGAGCAGCATGTACCTGTCTCCAGGTTCCCCATGGTGATGTGAAGGCCAATCTGAGCACACAGCTGACCCACTGATATCTTATTACCAACGTTAATTTCATAAATGTAAGAATTTTTGTTGGTTCTGTTCCCTGTTGTATAACAGTACCTGGCATAATTGCTCAGTCAATATTTTCTAAAATGAATGGTTGTTTTAACCCATGGTGGTAGTTTGTACTAGTTAGGCCTGTGTAGAAAATGCCAGAGAACAGTTTATTCTGGTACTATTGAAGAATTTTGGGAATGCTTAATTTTAGGGAATTATGCACTCCTTTTTAGCACACTGATTTTGTTGGATTTTAGAACAATATTTTATAAATTACCTAAGAGACCTTTGTGTTTACTTTTGCATCAGTGTGGATCTGATCTTTGAATCTTCAAAGAATGTTGCGATCAAAGAAAGAATAAGGAAACACCTATCACAAGGGGCAGTTAGATGGAATCTTCTGTCCCAGGCAGAGAGCTGGGAAAAGAAACAGGGGTACTACATGGAAGCACTCAATGTCTTATTGGACAAGAATTCTGTCTTTAGGGTTTATAGGGTGAGAAGAAGCTGATTTGAATATCTATCGATCTATCTATCTATCTACCTGTCTATCCTCTGTCATATGTCTATCAACAAAAAGGCCAAG